CTCTGTGTCTGTAACATTCCCCATTATGATTGGGTTCTCTGATGCCATCACTGTTGTCCGATATCATCTTAGAAAATTCGTTCCTAAGGAATTGCTTTCAATTTTTGACTTTCAATTTCTTTATTATAAAATAAGGAGATGAGCTAGACCAAAAGTCAGTAAACTATGACACATGAAATAACTCTGGCCCACCACCTGTTTCTGTAAATAAATTTTAAATAAACACAGTCATGTCCATGTATTATTGGTGGCTGCTTTTGAACTATAAAGGCAGAGTTGAATAGCTGTGTGAGTCCCTATGGTCTGCAAAGCCTACAACACTTACTACCTGGCTCTTTACAGAAAAAGTTACCACCCCTGAACTAGACTATAACTAATATTGATTTCGGGTTACGTTTCCATAAAGGATAACCAAACAATACAAAAGCTGACTCAGTGTGTATCTTGCCTTTTCTATCTATATGCATTGCCTTACTCCTAGAAGAATTTTAATTTGCTCAAAAAACTGTGTGGAGTGCATAACCCATACAATGGAAACCTCAAGAGAAGAATGAGGAAATAAAGACAAAGAGAAAAAGGAAGGAGAGACATGGAGATGAAGCCAGGAGTATGTGAATACACTGAATGCAAATCCCGAGACTCTGTATTTTATATAGGCCACCAACTTGGCTCCAAGCAGCCACAACACAAAGTCATGCTCCCTCTCCCAATTTATGGTGTTCACTAGAGGTTCACCAGGAAGACCACAGCAAACCCTGGCACAAAGAACCACTCATCCCCCGAGTCTGTGCACAGAGCAGATAAGGTGACATGCAGTGAACCAAGTCCCCAACAACGCCCAAACAGCCACTGGGAGGTATCCTGAACCCATTCACGGCTATGTGGAAATGCTGTCAGTGTAGGTCACCTCCAAATCCCAAAGTGGAGTTTATCAGCAATACTTCCGGTATGTTCCAAAATTTTATAATCAGAAAACATTTTCAAATAAATATTTTTTAATTAAAGAAAAGATAAAGGAAGTAGTAACCCTTGACAGCCTCATGTTCACTCTGAGGTAGACTCCCTCAGCCATGTGCTCCAAGAGAAGGCTCTGCCCAGCCTGGCTGCTCTTGTGAAGCTAAAGCATGAATGCCAAGGTGAGACACAAGGCAAGGACTGGGCTATCTGGAGACCTGGTCAAGGAATTGTCACTTTGATGATAAAATTCCAGGTGTTCACTATAAAAAGCACTGGTCAATGATGATGATCATTAGTCATTTTTACATTGAGCTCTACATTGTATCTAATTTATCATTATAAGTAATTCACACCCCAGATCTCTGTTGCTCCCTGCTTTATGTCCAGTGCTGAGAATAGTGTCTGGTGCAGGTGAGAAACAAGTACAAATGAACGGTGTGCCCCTCTGGAGAGCCCGGAGAGAAGGGAAGTGTACAGCTATGCCTAGGCTGTCCTGGCGCATCCTTCCCCAGCTGGGCCTTATCCACAATGCCCCAGCTTTGAGACTCTCTCACCTATGACAATGAGACAGGTGAAGGGAGTATCCAGATGTGGAGGCTAAGCTCCTGAGCCATGCATCAAGGAGAACAAATTAAAAATTGAAAAGGGGAACTCTGAACCATTGGGTGTCTAGTCTTGCTTTTAGTCCCATTGTTGGAAGGCTAAACATTGGGACAGCTCAAGACAAACACAGCTTTGGGTTCTGAGCAGACACTGAGACTTCAATGTGAAATCTGTTCCTTTCTCAGAGCAAAGATGTGCCTTCTCCTAGAGCAGAGGCCTGTTCTGGAACTCAGGGAAGCCTGCTCTCTGTGCAGTGGGACCTGCTCTGCTCTGAGGGTGCCAGAGCAGCACAGGCAGGATTTTCTCCAAGGAGACCTTCAGAGAGCAGCTGGCTTCCTGGGCAAGCAGGCCTGGGCAGACTGTGCTTGTCCACGCAAATGTTAAAAGAATACAGCCAAGAAGCCTTAGGACCTAATTGGCGCAGAGACAATAAAGTCAAAATGTCACAGCCAAAGCGACAGCTGTCAGTGGCTTAAAAAAGAAGAGGCATTATCTTCGACTTGGAAGTAATGACACAGAAAGAGCACTAGATGGGAAGTCCAGAGCCTGCAGGGACTAGCCTGGAGGCTGCATATTCTTAAGCAAGTCATTGCCCTTCTTATGCTTTGGGTTTTTTCGACTGTAAAATGGAAACAGATTCATTGATACAACTGGCTTGCTTGTTTCCTTGTAATGAATCCCTATAACACCACAGCAAAATGGAAGATACAAAAAAAATTCCACATGGTCCTTACCCTTCAATCTAATCATAACATGCAGTGTCTAGCACAGTGCCTGGCTCACAGGAGGCTTTCGATAGTATTATTGCCAGTAGTAGTATCAAGGTGGATGCTGGGTGCACTTGGCCTGTGATTCATTCCACTTACATAATGTTACCCACATCCACCTACCTGCTTCCACAGCTTGGTGTTAGTTCAGGCCTTTCCTCACCAGGTCCGCTGCCACAATCCCCTTAAGTCCTGTCACAGGTGCTAGGAGCTCACTATCCTAACTGATCCTAGTACCTCCGAGCTCCCCTTCTCAGCAATTTGGTCTCCGTTTGTCCACCAGCTCTCTCTGCACAACCACCAATCATGACACCCTTCCCTCAAAATCCCCTTTCCTACAAAATTCCATCCAAGTTCTTTTGCTTGGCATCTGAAGAGGGGATAAGCTGTCTCCAGCCCACCTTCCCAGGTTTGCTTCCCCTGGAGTGCCATTGTGTTCACAGCCCAGGCCTCGGTCCATCAATGTAGTGGTCATTCCCTGTTCCTGCACTCCTCACTCTGAAACGATCTCCTCTGCTTTGATGCTCAAGATCCTAACTCACGTTTCAAAGCTCAATTCAAATGCTGTCTGTCTTATTAGGTATTCAGCTTCTGGCCCACTAAGTGGTCCCTCTCTTGTTTGTAAGCTCAGGTACATTTTTATTTTTTTATATCACAAGTGTATGCTCGGTCCATCTTGAAATGGAAGTTTTGGCTCAAAGGCTTCTGTCCCTATGATGGCCTTCTTGATCCCCCAAAATTCTCCATATTCAGCTCCCCCACCCCAACACACACACTCACACAATGCTTGAACTCCTAGCATTTCTCCAGACAATCCTTCAACAACTTCCATGGTGCAATGGAATCAGGGTCACTCCTTGTTTTCCATGGGGCTGAAAAGAACACCTGGCCTAGAGTTGGTGCTCAGTAACTCTTGTCCGATGCTGCTGGGGATATTCAGAACTGTCTATAGGGGCCACATGTAAGCTGTGGGGGCTGCACATCTGTGTAACCAAAATATCTACTGCTCCGCATCCACCATCACCACCATACATATAGAAGGTACCACCTCCACTCGTCCCACATGAATGCCCAGACTCAGAATTCAACCCCTTTAAGTTCCACACATGGAATCTGCTCAGAAACAAGCACAGAAGAGCAATGAAGATTCTACTGGACACTTGGGCAGGCAGGAGGCAGGGGAGACAAGGATGGTGGTTACACAGCATAGCCCACAGCAATGCTGCCTTTGCTACCCCATCTGACACACAGTGCTGCCCAGCTTTTCCTGGGCAGCAACCCAGATCCCACCAACCTGGATCGTCCCCTCCTCTCTATCTTCCTCCATGCAGCAACTGTCCTCACCAGTTTCTCTCTATTCTTCCTACAAAATCTCAACTTTAAATCTCTCCCCTTTCTATTTTGCTACCAATTAACATCAGCCACAGCTTCGTAACCAGATTCTCAGAAGGTTCAGCTCATGATGAGTCCCTCAGATAATAGAACCCTGTCCTTCTTGAATGCTCTTTGGCCACCAACTTTATAACCCAAGCATGGCATTCAGTGTCTTACTCCTTCCTTCAAGCTGTTTGTAAGATGTTTTTCCCAAACTTGAGGTACAGTTCTCCCCAAGAAGGACTGTGATGGGTGAAATTTTCACCACTTCCCTATATCTGCAGTCACCACCTCACTGAGTTGTTGCCACAGAATGTCGAGGGTGATCATATCTACTTTCCAGTATCCCTGCCTCAGCTGTCAGGATGTCCCCATTCACTATCTATGAGCCAAATGACTTTTGACCAAGCCCCAGCTTCAGGCCCAGGAAGGGTATCCCATACAAAATAGCTTTCAAAATTATAAAAAGGAATTATTTGGAATGAAAATCCTTCTCAGGAATATTCCTGACCCAAAGTAGATCTAAGAAAGCCAGTAGACATGGCTACCCCAAAGAAAAGGTCAACATTTGTCAGGAGCATGGCCTGGCCAGTGACCAATTTATGCTTGTTTGTCTAAGGACTTCTTCTGTCTTAGCACTGAAAGACCCATGTCCAAGGTACCCCTCAGTCCCAGACAAGCTGGCATGATTGATTCACCTGTGATCCTTGCCAAGAACTAGAACGCCATGAGACCAGTCAGTGAAGCCAAGTTCCATATAAACACATCAGAGAGAAAGCAAGCAATGCCCAGAGAAGGGACAGGATGAGCCCTGGCTGCAGATGGGGCAAGAACAGCCTCATCAGAAATAATGTTGCAGGGGCAATGCTCCAAGCAAGGGCCAGACAGCCTTGGGTGGGCTGCCAATAACTTTCACCCATGATAACTGAGGATGTCCAATGTGGGTGGGATCCAGATCACACAGGGCAGGAGGTTAGGAAACTTCCCAAAAGAGGCTCTCTGCTTAGCAATCAGAGGACAACAGTAGCATCCCTAGAAGGCCAGCAAACATATACACACACACTCAGAACTTCCTGGTCCCTCTGTGCCCCAGACAATAGCCCAGTCTGCAAACATTAGCTTAAATGTGCATGAACCCAGCCTTCCTCCACAACCATACACAAGCGCTCCCCATTAGTCCCACCTCCCAACAGCCAGTGGCCTGTAGAAGACCCTGTGAAACACCACATCCCTATAAACAAAGCAACCATGGACCTGAAAAGCAGGCCTCCTGATGTGAGGAGGAAGTTGAGGACTCACCAGGACTCTGCCGGTCAGTGTCTGGGCAGATATCATCACCCCCGCCCAGTCCTTCACAGAGGTCATCCAGCCGACCTCAGCTGCCACTGCCTCCTCTTTTTCGTCCACTGGCTTGAGAGTGCCATCAGCCTGGCTTGAGCCATTGTTAATCTTCTGGGCCTCCTGGCAACAGAGAGAACAAAGGTTGAGACATAGGGACCAAGTGCATTTTAAAAACAAAACCTACCCCCCAAAATCAAAGGGTCCTCAGCTAAGGTAGGAACTGGCCTGAAGTTACAAGGTTAGGAAAGAAGGAATGGGTTATGGCTTTGATCAGTTTTTAAAATCTTTTTAAGAAAGAATCTTTTCTTTATTTCTTCTTAAAATATCTTTGTGAAAGAAAGAATGAGATTCTCTTCTTCCCATTTTTAAGAAAAAATCACAAAGTTCAGGAGGAAAAGAATCTTGCCTGGGCTCTTCCCCTACCCAGCCTTCATGCCATTCTCACAGGAGTGCCCAGTCCTCTCCTTAAGGAAATCCCCACCTCCTCATTCCTCTTGTAGTTCAAAAGAGACTGACAGGCCCACACTGGCTCCAGGAATGGGGACTGCTCAATCATGTCATTCCATCCCCCTGGCAACTGTGACTGGGCCACCGATGGTCACATGATGCACAACCAATGTAATACAACTCGAGCTCGAGACTTTTGCTGGAAAGCATAGGAAAGGTAATCCTTTCCTGAGAGTGAAGGCAGCACAGAGAAAAGTAGGAGAAGTGATGAAATGCTGATGTCATCATTTGAACATCTGAATCCAGCTATGCCTGAAATCTACCCCAGCCCTTTTCAGTTACAGGAGATAATAAACTACCTATCATGGCCTCAAATGTGAATGAGGAAACAAGGCTGACATCATCAGATAACTGAGCCCCACACTGGGCCTTAACCTGAACTCACCTGCATATAAGGTACCCTCTCCTCCCACAAAAACTTTTCTCCCACAAAGGGCCACAGCTTGCTCCCTCACTAAGCTCAAGTCTTTGCTTAAATATCACTATTTCAATGAAGTCTTCTCTGGCTACCCTTTTAAAATTGCAACTCTGCCTTCTGACAAAATAGCCCTTCTGCTTTATTTTTCTCCAAAGCATTTAAAACCTCTAATATACTCTAAAATTCACTTATTTCATTTACTCTCTGCCTCTACCCCAACTGCTGTATCCTGAGTGCCTAAATGAGTACTGGGAATATAGTTGGCTCAATAAACATGAATGAATGAATGAATGAATGAATGAACAAATATAGTTATGAGTATCAGTCCCTCACTGACTATGGAACCAGGGCTTAAGGTTGCCAAATAAAATACAAGACAGACAGGGAAATTTAAACTTCAAATAAATTTTTAGCATAAGCATGTCCCCCCAATACTGCATGGAACATACTTATACTAAAAATGTATCCATTATTTATCTAAAATTTAAATTTAACTGAGTCCTCTACTCAAATACTCACTGAGATTTTTTTTTTGCAGATCTATAGATGTCTTAAAAGATGCCAGCACAATTATGTTCATCATTTAAAACACTAGAATTAATTTCCAAAGTAAATTGATCCTATGGATCATTGTGAATTGGAGTGAGGGGAAAAAACAAAAGGCAGAAGTAAAAATCTTTGCAGTGAATAAGGAAGGGGAAGAGTGAGGAAAAGAGGGCTCAGAGTCTGGGTGAGTCATTCTCCAGGGCAGGAGTCCCCAGCCTCCGGGCCTAGGACCAGACCAGTACCAGTCTGGACCTGTTAGGAACTGGGCTGCACAGCAGGAGATGGGCTGGAATGTATTATGCTTGAATCATCTGGAAACCATTCCCCCCACCCCAGTCCCTGGAAAATTGTCTTCCCCAAAACTGGTCCCTTGTGCCAAAAAGGTTGGGGACTGCTGCTCTATGGGACCTGCAGGCTGGCAGAAAGCTGCTCCTGACACCTGGTTCTCTCCCTCCAGCTACCCCAGGCTCAGGGGAGCTGGGAAGAGAGAAGCAATACCAGCAACACGAGGTGCTTATGTTTTATTTCCAAGTGTGTTGGGCCCTACAGAACTAGCACAGTCCAAGAGGAAGCAGGGAGCAGGGGTGGGGTGAGGGTTTGGCACAGGGTGGGTATATTTGAGGGCCACCTGCTGACATCTGTGGAGCCAGCTGCCTGAGTCACCTAAGGCCAGTCTCAGTGGCCTAGTAGGACCCCATGTATCGGCCATGTAAAGACTCTGCATAGTTGCATGTCTTGGAAGAGAAGACCCTGATCCAGGATCAGCCTTAGTATCTGAAGGTGTAGAGCCAGCTCTCCTGCCTCTGTGGGACCTGCCCTGCCAGATGGGGCAGCACTGCCTGCCCACAGCCATGGTGGGGATTAAAAGCACCCCAGGACACTTAATACATGTCCAATTTAATAAGTCCCACAGCCTCCCACCTCTCCTCCAGCCACCGACACTCTAGCAGTGGTCCTCAAACCTAAGGGGCCATTAGAACCACCTGTAGGGCTTGTTAACCCAGGGTGCTGACCCCACCCCCACCACATGTATTTCTAACAAGTTCCCAGGTGATACTGAAGCTGCTGGTTTGGGAACTCCACTTTTAGAACCACTGCTTCTAATGATCCTGGCATGGATTGATCATCCAGGCTATTATCTGAAATAGGACATGGATCTTAACACCCACCCTTTCCCAGCCCCTCCCTTCACCCAGGCCCAGAACTGCCTGCTTCTTCCAGAAGTAGAGGACGTGGAGTGGACAGGGAAGAGATGGGGCAGGAAAGAGATGGAGCAGGGAAAAGGCCCTCTAATCAGAAGCTTTTATATTTCCTCTTGAGCAGTGTGTCCCTGGGACATTTCTGAACTGGTCCAGGGCCATGACTAGGGGTGTGTGAAGGGCCAGCTCTCTGCTCCTCAACTCCTGGAGCTCAGGGTTGCAGCCACCTGGCAGACCCGGGAGGAGGGAATGGGCATGACAAAGGCTGGAGGCAGGTGTCCTCTCCAGTCACAGTGGTTTCAATGCATTAATAATTCACAGCACAAGTGGTATATGGCAGATAATGCTCTCTTGCCAGCCCTCTTACCTATTGTTTTACAAGGTATTCATTATTTTAATTACTTTATGATAGGCAAAGAAAAACACAGACAAAAGGGAGATAATGCCCTTGTTGTTATTTGCTTACACTGGATGTTTTGAGCTTAATTACACATGTGGGAGGCAGAACTGGGGGAGCAGCAGGGAGAAGAGGGGGCTGGAGCTCTACAAAGCCTGATGTCACAGGCCAGGAGGGCATTCCCTGCCTGGAGGGAAAGGCCCTCGCCACTTCTGACCTCACTGTAGCCAAAGCATCCTTTATGTGGAGCGGAGACCATAACCCCATGCTCCAGAGAAAAGGCAGCAGAGGCCCAGAGAGGGGAAGTGGCCTTGCTGGGACACACAGGGGACGAGTGGTAAGGGGCAGGGCCCATTGTAACAGTGATTGGCCACCACTTATCAAGCCAGAACTGGGTGTCAGGAACTACAAATTAGGTGCTTCCTATGCATGATTTCAATTAGAGTTTATAATAAATCCAACAGGCAGGTAGAATTATCCCCATTTTATATACAGGGCAACTGAAAGCAGGTATTTCAGGGGAAGGCACAGAGCCTGAGAGCTCAGCATAGAGGCAGAGAGCCTGTCTAGGCATAGGTCTGCCCCGAGAATCCCCTGCCCCTAACAAGCTGACTGCTGTGAGCACATTAGCTCCAGAGCTTCTACTTCCTTCATGTAGAATGGGGGACAGGCATGTAGACCCCCAGCAGTAGGTGATGAGTAGGTGACAAAGCTTACGTGAGATAAGCGATGCCCAGCATTTGTCATGGTGCCTGGCACGCAGCAGTAACTAACAGCTACTGTGACAGAGTGCACATTGACGGGACTGGTTCCCTCTAAAGTTAAAGCTGCACCACTGCATCGACTGCTGGCCCTGAGAGGGACACTGGCCCAGAGTGAATCAGGGCCTGGTGTGGGGGGCAGGGGTGAAGCCACCCAGCCCAGCCAGGCAACCCCCAAGCCAAGACATAAACTGCCAGCTTGCTCTACTCACATCTCTTGTTCCTTCCCCAGTGGGATGATTCCTCCAAACCTAACCAAGAGAACCCATCACTCCCAAGCAGTTCCCTCTGCTGCAACCTGGCATCCAGGGATTCCCAAAACTGCCAGAGGCTCCACCTGTCCCAATCCCAGAGTTGGGTGTGGGGGCCACAGTGGGGAGCAACCTTTCTTGTCTTCAAAGGGCTAGCTTTCCCTAGCAGTACAAGCAGCCCTGCCCTGACCCAGCCCTGGAGAGCAATCCCATTCTAATCCCAGAACCCCACAGCCCCCAACCTTCAGTTATGGGCCATGTGTGTCTCCATCCTTCCCGAATTAGACCCATTATAAGGGAAACTTCAAGTTTGTGGTGTGGTAGGAAGACCTCTGAGGATGGAAGGATACCCAAATCCAGGTCCAGCTTTTCTGAATGTCCTTGGACAAGTCACTTCAGTTCCCCAACCCTCTTCTGCAGACAGAGATGAGTACGACCTTATGATCTGGTAAGGTGGAACCCAGCACTTCCTGAAAGTACCCACTGCTTAATGAAGGTGGGCAACAATGGCATTGCTATCCTCTGGTTGTGAGCAAGAAGCAGTGCTGCTCTGGAGAAAGGGTTCCAGAACCCCAAAGGCAGGCCTCACAGAGCATGTGGTTCAACTCTCAGATCCTCACCCTGCCGCACCTTGCAGAGAAGGGCTCCGGTTACCTTCCTCAACAAGATGTTGAGATTGCCAAGCCCTGCCAGGTGGCCCACTGTGCAGACCGCACCCTCCCTGTGAGCAGCCACCACACCTGCTCCTGCCCAGCTAGGCTCATTCACCCTGAGCAAGCTCCCATCAACACCTGTCAGGCCACGCCAGGAGCCAAGGCCACCTGGAACAGCATACCTGTTGGGTAACTGCAGCGAGGTTGGGGGCCAGCCACCAGGAGGATCGCAGCGTCCCCTCGCTGCTCCCTGTTGAGGCTGCCCTCAGATAACAAGGCTGTCTCGGGTTTAATTATGTCTCAGTTCTCTGAACACTGTCTCCTCATCCCACATCTGGGAGGTTGCTTACACAGTGAGCATCTGGGAGGAAAACTACGGTTAAAAATG